ATCAGGTCCTTTCATAAGGGAATGAAGGGCACTGTAGTTTTTGATGTCTCAACATCAGATCCCTTTGACATTCGAAGCCGAGTGAAACAGGCCTGTGTCCTCACACCAACCCCTTTTTGGGATCTTTTTTGCTGTCATGCTGAAGCACACCTTTGGAACTGCAACAGAAGGTGTCTATTTTTGGACTAGATCAGATGGAGAGCTCTTTAATTTCTCTAGATTGAGAGCAAAGACCAAAGTCCAGCTGAAGTGCATGTGGGACGTCCCTGTTGCCGATGAGGCAGCTATTGTTGCCCACTCTGCTGAAGATTTCCAACAGCTCATGAATCATTTTAGCAAGGCCTGCCAAGACTTTGTACTAACAATCAGCCTGAAGAAAACACAAGTCATGGGCCAGGGTGTGGACTCATCTCCCTCTATTACCATCTCCACACAAGAATTGGAGGTTGTTCATGACTTTGTGTACCATGGCTCAACGATCTCTCACACTCTCTCCCTAGATGTCAAGCTGGATAAATGCATTGGCAAAGCAGCTACCATGTTCTCTAGACTCATAAATAGAGTATGCCTCAGTAAAAAGCTGACGGCATATACCAAGATCTAGGTCTATAGAGCCTGTGACCTGAGCACACTCCTATACAGCAGTGAGTCCTGGACCCTTTGTGCATGTCAGGAGAGGAAGCCAAATACGTTCCATATGCGTTGTCTCCAAAGCATTTTGGTATCACTTGGCAAAGTTCCAAATAGATTAGTCCTAGAATGAGCTGGAATTTTTAGCATGTACAATGGTGCCTCGCTTAACGGGTGCCCCGTTTAACGACGAAATTGCATAGCGATGAAGATTTTGCGATCGCTTTTGCAATCACTTTGCGATGGTCTGAATGGGGTTTTTTGCTTTGCGATGATCGGTTCCCTGTTTCGCTTACCGATCATCGCAAAGCAACGTTTTTAAAACACCTGATTGTCAGTTCCAAAATGGCCACCGGGTAAAAAAAATGGCCGCCCGCTGTGTTTAGGGACGGATTCCTCACTTACCAGGCAGTGAAAATGGCCACCGTATGGAGGATCTTCGCTTAAAGGTCAGTTTTAAGCCCATAGGAATGCATTGAAGGGGTTTCAATGCATTCCTATGGTCTTTTTTAAATCGCATAGCGACGAAATCGCTTAGCAGCGATTTTTGCTGCAACGATTAACGTCGCTATGCGAGGCACCACTGTATACATTGCTGAAACAGCGACGTCTACATTGGCTTGGGCATGTGAGAATGGCTGATGGGCGGATTCCAGGAGATCTCCTGTATGGAGAATTAGTGCAAGGAAATGGCGTCAGAGGAACACTACAGCTGTGATACAAGGATATATGCAAGCCGGATCTGAAGGCCTTAGGAATGGACCTCAACAGATAGGAAACCCTGACATCTGAGCATTCAGCCTGGAGGCAGGTGGTGCATCACAGCCTCTCCCAATTTGAAGAGACCCTTGTCCAGCAGTCCAAGGCAAAGAGGCAGTCCCGAAAGCAGCAAAATCAGGGAGCTTGACAGGGGACAGATTGTATTTGTCTTTGTGACATTGACCTCTATGAAGCACCTACTTTTTTGTGCCCTCACAAAGGTTCTAGTCTTTGTTTTCCTCTATCCACAATCTAAAAGTCGTTTGTCCAAACACTTGTCTGGTAAATGCAAAGAGAACTTATGTATTGAAGTGTAGCAAAGTTAATAATAATCACAGATGTTCTTCAGATGTTCATTATACACAAGCAAATCATTCACAGGTCTCTCTATACATACTTTCATCTTGCCATATAATTAATTACCACCTTCTCTATCTATTTATCTTAACCAGCTCTAACTCAATCTCTATCTCTTCTGCCTCTGCCTCTTGACTAACTCAGTCTCTCTCTCCTGACTGACTCTTGACTGACTCTTAACTGACTAACTCCTCCTCTCAGGCTCCACTTTTTAACCTCTCTCTCGGCTCCACCTCTCCACCACATTTGCCCAGTACATGAATAATACATGAGCTATTTTGCATAACAAAGGGTGAACGCTACAGTCTTCATTGTGGAAGGGACTGTCACTCTCGAACTGGCCTTCTTAGCCACACTAGATGTTGTTCCAAGTCCTCCATACAGAGCACGTTACCATAGTCTCTCAAGACTGAAAGATGCCTAATCTAAAAAACAAACAAACAGTATTTGGTATCTAAAGTAAGTATATATAGTGGGCTAAATTGGCACATGCTCTTGAAAGTAACTGAAGGTGTAAATTTTGGCACCTTTGATTTCATATTTCAGCTCCATATTTGGAGCAAATTAGAATCCTTGAATATAGATGTTAGGTTGCTTAAGAGAATCCAAGGACTCTATGAGAATGTCACCCTAAAGGTAAGAGGCATCTCTGATGGCAAACTTTCAAACCCAATCCCTGTAAATAAGGAAGTGCATCAGGGGTGTTAATTAGCCCCCCTTCTATTTAATTTATACATAAGCAATGTAGTATCCTGTCTAGCCCCAAGTTTTTCCCACCCCATCTAAAGGACAGCAATATATCAGTACTTCTGTATGCTGATGATTCTATTCTCCTGTTGTATACTCAGGTGGGGATGTTGCTTATTTTGTCAAGGAACATCTCCAGGTAAATGACAGCAAAACCAAATTTTTATTTTTTGGGAAAAGGAGAAAGAAATACAGATGGTAGCTGAACAGGAAACTGCTTGAACAGACAAATACATATAAATACCCTGGAGTAACATTTAAAAGTTCAGGCACATGGTCAGGTCACTTAGAATCTGTAGCTCTGTCAGCTGAGGCATCCCCAAGTGCTATGTACTGTTTTTCTTCTGGACCAAGCAGAAAAATGGTGGCATCACTAATACAATTGTACAAAGACAAACTGCTTCCTCAGATTCTCTGTTGAACCCCAGTATGGGCTTTTAAAAATATTACAAAATTGGAATCTATCCAATGCCATTTTTAACCAGATCACTAGGGGTATCAAAATCTACTTCCACAGTCATAGTCCATCATGCTACTCCATGGGTACTCTTGCTAAGAAAGCAGCTATGCTGTTTTGGCTCAAGATAGTGTACCATATGGCCTCATTCCTGGTCTCATCGGCATATGAAAAAATGGGAAAGGACTCAGGTAGCTAAGATTATTACAATTATATCAAAGCTCAGTTACTCCCCAGCCTACCTCCACAGAATGGGATATGAGCCTGCTCGAGAAGAGATCATTAAAAGTGTATGCGATTGTGGCGATCAACTCTTTGTTGCCCCTATTTCTTTGGGCCTCACAAAGGAACATACGCCCTTTTCGCTGCCACCAGGTATTCTCTAATACTACTTCCAGTCCCACACAGGAGTTGCCACCCCCAAAAGGTCATATACTTTAGGAATCAGGGTTTATGATTAAGTATTCTTTCATTATTATTCAACAGGAAAAACATATATGAGTTGGTTCAGGTGTTAATACTTTTAGGATCATGCAGTCAATCACTTTACTATCAATTTTATATCTCTCTTGCTATGCTTATACGTTCATTCCTGCTGGTTCAATGTGTTTTACTTTTAATTTCCTTTCCTAAACCCCTTTGATTTATTGCTAAACCCTAACACTCTCTATACATCTTCTGGTCCCTGACTCTTTCTACCTCCGCCTAACTCCAACTGTCCCTGTCTCTTCAACTCCCTCTAACTGTCATTCTAACTCCGCCCCTCGTGCTCTATCCTTGGCTCCTCCCCCTTTTTGCTGTGATGGACAGGCAGGAATGACATCACCTTTTTGGATTCCGCTACAGTGATATTGATATCCAGACTACCATGGTACCTGTAGCCTGTTGTTGCTCCAATCAGATATACAAAGGCTTTTCCTTGCCTTTTGGAAAGCTTTTGTGGGGATGTTGGCAATTCTTTGGTTCTGACTCTCAAGGTCAACTCCAATTCTTTGGTATCAAGTTCCGAGTCCCAAGTTTGAGTCCCTACAAAAAACAAGCTTTTTCCACAGAATAAAAGGGAGAGGGTAGGTGGGTTCCGAGTCACGAGTTCAGTAATTTAAAAACAAGCCCAAGTCAAATCTGAGTTGAGTCACCTGTGCAACTTAAGTCTGACTTGACAGTGAGTGCTGCAACTTGAGTTCCATCCCTGCATATTTGTTACTTATCAGCTCACACCAGCCGAGACAGCTGTTAACTAAATGCAGACAGAACCCGTTACAGTTGAAAGAGATTCAAGGACATTACATGGACCAACATGGTACGGGCAGACATTGCTCATTAGGAGTTCATGGTATATTTTATTCAAGTTAAAAAAAATTCATTGACCCCTGATTTGTAGGTTAATAGTTTTGTTACATGTTGATTTAACATGTAGCCCTCTTTAGGCATTGGGCGCTCTAATGCTGCCCCATGTCCCAGAAAACTGGGGGTGCCTCATGTAAAGCATGGAACGGGGATGTATGGTATAGGCAAAAAATGTTAGTGAAGTGCCTCACATTTAAAGTAATATACATGAAATCCAGAGTCTAAAATTACTGTTTGACCTGGATTTGAATACATTGTAGCAAAAGAGGAATTCTAGAGTGGAGATTTAAGATGACGGTTTTATCATCAGACCTACAGGCTTACTCTCAGTTTACAAGGGAACTGAGGTTTTAATGAAGAATCTCCTCATAGGCAATGCTTTAAAAAACCGGGTTCTTCCACCAATTTATGTTGTATTGCCAATTGGCAAACTACACAGTAGTAGGGAATTGGCACTAGATAAAATTTCATAATTTCTGATAATTTCTTATATTTTGTTCCAGATAAATATTAGCAATGCTAAGGTGCCTCTGGAATATTCAATTTAACTGGGATATATAAGGCAAAGAAAATGTCTGTACTGACCTTGTTGGCTTAAAAAACACAAGGACTGATGTATTTATGAGTGTACAATTGGAGTCTAAAACTGAGAGCTGGTATGTTTTCTTTCTAAATTAAAATCATGCTTTTCTTCATACAAAAGGTGCTGATCTTCCTTACAATGGTCAAGTGATAGGAAATGGTGTTAACAGGAATTCCGCAATTATTGGAGGTAAGAACACTGCAGATGTATGGATTTATATTTATACATTAACAAATTACCGTGCATTCAAATTTCTTTAATACATATGCAATTTGATTCAGATTTTAATTTTCAAGGCTAACCTACCAAAGAGAATGGGGATTTCAAATATATTGGGCCAATACTTTTAGAAAGCTTTGAGAAAGAAATGATGATTCTTGGAACAGCAATAAGCAGCAAATTGCACATGCTGGCTGACTACACAAGCATTTATCTGCTGTTTGGCCACTGCACGAATGGATTGGTTACTCCATGGCAGTGATCAAACTATGACTTTGCTGGAGTGAACTAGCCAACCCCCAGAATGGCCATTTCTTCATATTTCTGGTCCTTGTCAGTGGCTTCAACTTTTTTTAGTGCAGGTAGGATTGCTCTGGTTTGGTTCCTTTCCACCATATGCAATTGCTGGAAATGAACCAGAAGTGAACTACCCTCATCAATTTGCCAATATTGTGAAGTGGCTTCAAAAGAGAGTCACTCCAGGATATTGGCAAAGTACTTCTTCAGCTCTGTGGAGGGGGTAATATGCATACATGTATGTGAGTAGGTTTGTAGATCTTAAGAGTATGTAAAAGAGGAAAATTTATTCAGATAATTAAACACATATCCAAACCCACACATACAAGCTTCTGCTTGCTAATTGTATTTCTTATTGGGTCAGTGATGGCACAATAAATACCTACTACTACTACTACTACTACTACTACTACTACTACTACTACTACTACTACTACTACTACTACTACTACTTGTATTTCTTAAGTGTTAAAGAAATAGCTAGAATTAAGGATTAATAAAATCACTATCCTGATCAGTGTTACAATATATAAATAGTATGCAACCAAGCAAGAATGAACAAGCTGTGTTATCTGCATAAGAGAACATGTGTAACCAATCAGATTCTGGCTAGTGTCAGCCAATAGATGCTGACACTAGATGCTGTCAAATATAAGAAAAAGTGTCAGTTAATCCGATGCTTTTCTGCTGATATGTTAGTTTTTAGTTAGGACTTTACTGCTAGATTTCTCCTGTTAGTATGCTACTAAAGAAGATGTTAAGATGGTCTGATAGAAGGAGTTTATGGTGTTTCAGGTCATAATCTTATGAGACAATTGAGCAAGTTGCATTTAAATGATAACAACTGTGAACAAGATTGTGAACAGGAGAACAGAAGTGTGCCGTCCTCCACGAAGGAACCAAAGAAAGAACATGAAGATTGTGCAGTAGGGGAGTTGATAAAGTTGGACGATGAAGGAACAGGAGTTACGAAAGCAGTGGAAGTGTTTCTGGCAGAAGAGAAACAGAGACAGGCGAGGGAGGAGTTAGGACAGTGGGGATGGGAGGATATAAAAGAGGAGCATGAAGAGAGGGGGGAGAAGGAGCGGAGAGAGAGAAGTGTACAAACAGATGAGACTGGAGAGCAAAGAGATAGGAACTGGTAAAAGACTTTCCTAATCTGATGATGGGAGGAGGATTATTGCCCACTCCACCTGATCAATATCTAAAGGGGGTCGGTGAACAGAGTGAAAAATGGAAATGGGAAGCAACATCTCCTATTCTGGGTTCAGGGAAGAAGGAGATCCCTTATGGTACCAGTCCCTATCTCCCCAGGTTGGAGGGTTCCCGAATGGTGCACCCATGTTGTGGGACAGCTTGTGTAGTTCTGAGCGCGCCGCTGCAGAACCCAGTAATCAGCTCTATCCTTGGAGTGAAGAGAATGTGAAAGAAACTGGAAATGTTGAAAATGTTAAAGTTATAAGTTATAAGTTGTTGCCGGAGGTAGAAATGTTGGATCCATTTGGTTTGGGAGTTTCTGGAGTTAAGGACAATAAGCAACCGTTGTTTGCACCTGTTGCTTCGTCGCCGTCAGTTCTTCCCACCGGAACTCCAGGCCCGCCCACTCTTTCAAAAGAACCCAATCACAAAGATAAATAATTATTTAAGCACTACAAATAAGTTACAAATAGCATGTTTTGAAATAACAGATCAATTAAACAAAGGATTTTTTTCCTATGACCCTTAGAGACTGTTTTAAAGTGTTTGTGTCTAGCCAGAGTCTAAAGTGGCAACAGCAACAAACTATACATGGGCTAAGAGTAGTTTTGGACCCAGAAGAATTGACGCTTTAGAACTTCTACATAGTGCAGCCTCTATAGTTACAACAGGAAATAACAGATTGTCTTTCATCACTACAAGGTCTTCTCTGTTATGAGACCACAGGCAAGAATGCAAGATCTCAGGCATGGGACATTGAGATAAATAGTAATCAGAAACAACTGCAAAATAAGAAAATTGAGAAAGCTGGTACCCAAATTAAAAATGATAATATGCTTGGGGCAAACTACTCTACCACTAAAAAATAACATTTTACTGTTCGTTCAAACACACCAATGACCTGCAAAAAAGGTATCTGCACCTTGAAGAGGAGGAACAATATGCTCCCCTACTGACACCTCAAGTTGTAACATGTAAAACTGAGTATATTGACACCCCCCCAAAAAAAATGGATCTGGGTGTGCTTTTCATGATAAGAATGGGGAACTGGATTGATTGATTGACAAACCTTGCACCAAGATGCCCCCCTAGTTAGAGCTCTTCCTCTCTGATATCTGATAGCAACCCTTGGAACAAAGAGAAAATTTTGGTTGAGGCACAAGACAAGATTAAAATTGCCTCAGGAAAAATAGCAGGATGGACGTCCAAGCAAAATGCTGCCAAGGTTTTGGACTGTTTAAGAGCTCATGATGTGATTTTTATACAAGAAACCTAGGCCACCAAAACAATCTATTTAAATTGGTTTTTAGTAAGTGATATGCCTGCTCAGGCTACTAAAGGAAAAGGTAGACCTAAGGCTAGCTTGGCAATATTGATACCAGCAACTCTTCAAGCATCTGTTAGGTGGGCACTCCCCTGTGAGAAGATAGTGGCTGGTTATATTGATTTTAGTGCCAAATCCCCCCTTTCTCCCCCCTCTCTGAATGATATAAAGCAGGCCTGGGAGGATTTGGAATATTATATAATAGGCCTAGAGTTTAATTTCCCCAAAGTTCAGTTACATTTTTTTAAATTTTCTTTTTATTATTAATATTATTTATAAAGTCCATCCATGTTTCTTTAACATCATGTCATCTAGGGTCAGCTTGTAATAATTTGTTAATACTGTACAACTACAATTAATCTATACAGCATGCTTCTAACCATTGATAAAACAGGTTCCATGTTTGATAATATTCTGCATCTTCCTTTCCTTTGATTTTCAGTGTGAGAGTTCAGTTACTTATAATGCATGTTTTTAATGCAAGATTAGGGTTTAGGATTAATGTAAGAATAATACACTTTTCTCCTCTGCTCTTTGGGGGTTAGTTCATAATGAGATGTTTGCCTTCAGCTATGACAAAATCTCTAAAGAGTCTATGGTGGGCTATGGAGACATCCGTTTGACTCCAATGGTGAGCTGTCTTGCCCTTGAAATTTTAAATGGAAACCCCTTCTTGATAAAAGTGCAGAATTCACTTATGTATCAGGACATGGGAGTAGAGTAGTGTATTTTGTGCTGATTTCCCTTTTTATTTAGTTGGGTTTTTGAATTCTCTGTAGACTACAGGCTGAATAGTAACCATCTTCCTCTCAGTGTCACCCTCTCCTTATCAAATGCTGTTCACTTGAATGCTAAATCTCATTTTCAGGATAAATCTCTAAGTCTAAAACACAAAATATTATATTAAGGTAAAGGTTCCCCTTGACAATTTTTGTCCAGTCGTGTCCGACTCTAGGGGGCGGCGCTCATCCCGCTCTTCAAGCCATAGAGCCAGCGTTTTGTCCGAAGACAATCTTTCCGTGGTCACATGGCCAGTGTGATTTAGACACGGAATGCGATTTACCTTGCCACCGAGGTGGTCCCTATTTCTCTACTCGCATTTGCATGCTTTCGAACCGCTAGGTTGGCGGGAGCTGGGACAAGTGACGGGTGCTCATTCCGTTGCCTGGATTCGATCTTACGACTGCCGGATCTTCTGACCCTGCAGCACAGGCTTCTGCGGTTTAGCCCACAACACCACCACGTCCAATATTATATTGGATTGAGAAAAACAACAATAAGGTGGCAGGTTTTTTAGTTCTCCTGAGGGGGAGACTTTGAAAAATGTAGTCATGGAGGCCACAAGTGTTATCTCTGCTTTAAATAATTACTCAGCTTTGATCACTCCTTTGAATGAATGCTCTTTTAACTACAAAATAAACCCCTTCAGAAGCTGTAGGCACTAAATGGGAAAAAAGTGGTAGGGGGAGAGAAAGAAGGGGGAGTGATAAGAGAGATTCCACAGCAACCCTGGTAGGGTTCACAGCACACCAATGTGCACAGTTTGGGAACCCCTGCTCTACCATGTCATTCAAAGTCTCAATTGAATAGTTGTTAGTCAATGTAAGCAAATGAAAGTCAGCAGCAATAAAAACATTTCCCAGTTAGAATAAAAATGATTACAGAGACAGACTGGCAGTAAGTGAATATATTAACTATGTTATGTCTAACAGTAATATTTAAAAACGACTGTACTTGGCTAACTTCAGTATTTAATTGAATGAATTTTTTTCCTTTGATAGTTTTAAAAGATTAGCTAAAATTATCTCTCTCTCTCTCTTTCAGGTGTTATTGCTGTTGTGATCTTCACCATCCTTTGCACCCTGGTGTTCCTCATTCGCTACATGTTCCGCCACAAGGGGACATACCACACCAATGAAGCCAAGGGGGCAGAATCTGCTGAGAGTGCTGATGCAGCCATCATGAACAATGATCCTAATTTTACAGAAACTATTGATGAAAGCAAAAAAGAGTGGCTTATTTAAAATGGGGGGATGTTTTGAAAGTGGAAATTGGAGTTGGACTAGGACGACCTTTTCAGCGAGAGCTCTTTTACAAACTCTTAAGCATGTCTAGCTTTAAAAAGGGGGATCCGCACAACTGGAGAAGAAAGGGACAAACATTAAGACTAGAAATTCATCAGCATTTCAGAACAGTTAAAGAAAGCAATTGTTTTTAAACAATTATAGAACGATTTAAAGCAAATTACCCCCTTCTTATATCCATATAAACCAAAAGCATAATTTAAGACATTCAGCATTGGTTCATGCTTGTCAGTGAGCATCTGTCTTCTTTGTCTGTGGCTAGAGATATTCAAAAATACCTATCATAATGGAACATATTATGGAACATCTCTCTATATATTTTTTAAAAGCCCTTTATGATATACATAAATCTATCTATCCACAAAACAGCAAATTGGTTTCTAAAGCTCTGGACAGTTCTTCTCAGAAGTTCTTACATAGATAATTCCCTTAAAAAGAAGCTATAATAGCTGTAATATATTTCAGTAATTGTTATTTAAATGTGTGATTTAGCAGCTTTAGCTTGGGCTTACATGATTGCACTACAACTTTAAATGACATAAAATATTTCCTCTGCTCAGCAAGTTCTGGCAACAGTCATTCTGCTGTGGAAAATAGAAATCTAAGAGATATATCTTCTGGTGTTACAATTCCACGATGTGAGAGTTGCTGTGCCCTGACCCGGTCACATCTTCTGTTTGAGGTCACAGGGGAAGAACTAATACTATGTCTCATTTAGACACCAGTACTGATTTTCTTTCCAGGAGAGAAAATGCTTGACTCTTTCTCATGTGACTTGGGATTTCCAATATTACTGAATCATGCAGGAAACTGCCAAGCTACAGTGGCTCCCACATCACTAATGGTAAAAGGTAATCCTCTACATTCCTATCAAAGTGTAATTCCCATGAATTCTTTTGTAGGTAAACCAGAACTGTCAAACTAATTTAAAGTTGATACACAGCTGATATTCAGAGAGCAAGAAACCCAGAATATAACAAGCATTTGAGAGAAAATCACATTTGCCTGTTCTCAATATCTTATCAACTTGTGTCAGACCTTTGAAATCTATATCTAACATAGACACCTGATAATGATTGTGTATATTATATACTGATAAAACATGTTTTAAAAAGCCCTCTATCATTTTGTCTTTGTTAGAAAGAAGTATCTTAAAGCATAGGCAACCTTTTCCCCCTTCCAGATCAGACCACTCCACATAGTTCTGTTATGATTTGCCAACCTGAGAGCAGGACAACATTTGTTCTACCTGTGACATATTGGCATATGTTATACATATACAGACACATAGTAGGGAATTAGAGCCAGATTTTACCAGTTTGTTTGCTTCTGTTTCCTATACGTAGACCACTGCAACAATATTGCTACAGTTTTGGCAACACATCTGATCCAGAAAAATTCATATAAAACGTGACATTAACTTCTTTTTCTTCTTTCATTCTCCCTTTAAAACTTTATTGTGAAGGATATTTGTGATGCATTTTTTAATAAAGAAGGTTGGATAGTTCTATGTGCAAGAAGAACTACAGAATGACACAGTCCTGGTGCACAGCTTGTTTAAAATGTACATTTTTATCACCGTTAAGGCAATTTGAGGGCAATAAGGCAATAAATGATACTTCAGGGATAAGACCCATACACATCAGTTTAGACTTGCACACTTCTTAAGTGAAGAGATCAGAGACCAATTACATTCATAATGGCCCTTGGAAGCCATGGTTGTGTGAAAAAGCTGTCTCCAACCAAATATAATGACTTGAGCATTCTTGTCATATGAATGCTATCCCTACTAGTGGATCTGTGTCTATCAAATTATAACAGAGACCACTTCTGTAATCTGAGTCTGTTTCAAGCAGGCTGAACCACCAGAACTTTCCCAAAGAATTCTGTGAATTGTAATTTAATGAGGGTGAGTTCTTAGTTGTCTGTCTCTAGCCATTTCACTCAACTTAAGTTCCTTGCATTTCTTGGTTAAGTTTTGTGACAGCTAAATGAGTATGAATCATGCTTAAATATATATTGTGTATCCGTCATACATCACTTCATAAGGAATTTCTTATTGACTGGTCTTAGGAAAAGGCCTTCCCATGTAGTAGATTATCCAGTACTTTGATGGCTGTTGATTCTTTAATTAAAAGAATTCCCACTGCTGATTAAGACTATTTTCCACCTGATGAAGCCTTATAGAAAGTTGTAGAGTTCAGTCTAATGAAGATGTATTGTCTCTCACTTATTATGTTTTACAGAAATAATTATTTCTTGTGAAAAGGTTTTAGGCCTGTGAAGACTCTGGATTCATGTAATCCATTTGCTCACTTTTGGTATGCTCAGCTTTGAACCATCATCTATTCAGAATGATTGATTGGAAATCCAAAATAACTAGCTCAATGTACTAAATACTACTATTCTCTTTTAGCTGAATCCTCTCCTCCACCCCCACCCCTGTCGGTTGTGGACTACAGTGCTTTATATATTACAAAAGCCTTGCGAACTGGACAGAAAACTTTCATTTAGTAATCTTCTATATTGCTACATATCTCTGTGCATGTGTCTGTGTCCTTTCCCCTGAGTTTTGGTAATGTCAATAGGAAATGTATCCACAGAAAACAGAGAAGGAGAGATAGGAAATAGACTGTTGGAAGAAATTTTGTCTATGAGACATAAAATTCTCATTCACCCTACTAATTATAATGAGGAATACAACTATATCTCCTCACTTTTAGGAAGCCATTAATGCCTTTGTGACAGCAGTGGCCATTACATTGCCTTCTTCTTCCTCTTTTTGAACCCATCTGTGAGCCTAGCAACCAACTTTGCTCCTTTGCCATACAGAAAGGAGCAAAGAGTGCCTTGCTTAATAAACATGAGAGGCAGAGGTTAAGAATGGATGTGAACATACAGAAGTAAGTAAAAATCTGTATATTCCCCTGTACGGGGTTGGGCCTACTACTAGCCAGGGTAAGATGGTGGCCTCCGGCTCTTCACCATGTAAGCTGGCCATTGTTAGTGATTTATCTTCCTTTAACCTCCATCTCTATAGTCTTTTGCCATTTCTTCTACTTGGAGCCATGCATAATGCACATAACTGGTTGAAAAGTGGTCACCACCAATGGAAATGGAGATGAACAGGAGAAGAAGGTCCTGTTACTGCCACTAGCTGCTGCCATCATCACCATCACCTATTTACCTCATAGGAACAAGTGTGGCATTATGGCAGTTAGGACAATGGTAATTGTCTTCATGCCTAAGGGAGGGTTAATTCTGATGCTGCCCTTCTATATACGTTTTCACCATCAGATGAGCTTCTTGCTCTTAAATAGATTTGGTATTCCTTTCCTGTATTCCCAATCTGGTGAGAATATTTGTCATTGAAGTTTGTAACTGAGGTTTTTATTTTGTTCTTCTTTATATACTATGAAAAGATCCTCTTCAATGAGGAAAAGTAAATTATATGATATGCTTGTACTAATTTTCTCAGCTGACAAAGTCATTTTTCCTAATTCTAAAAGCTATTATATCAATTAAGTCTTGATTCTTCTGAGATCTCCATTAATATTTTCTGTAATGCAGATAGCATCAGTGAAACAGAATGAATTAGAAGGGGGGAAATTGGCATGCTGATCTATTGGAACAAAATAAAATCCAAATTGAAATGTGGGTAATCCCTTTATTTTGTAAATGTTATTAGGATCAATTATTAATACAGAAAATAAGCAGGCTCTTGGTTTTTCCAGAACTGTTGTCCAGATGGTAAAAATTAGAGGCAGGGAGGAAAATGTGGAAGTCCAAACATTTTTTGGCTAAATGTTTTAATCCTTTGAAATCTTCAGTTAAATGCGGCCCCAAGGTGGTGAATAAAGCTTAGTAAATCAAGTCCTCTTCAGGTGTTTGTCTAAGCTCAAGGATAATGTTTATATGGGAATGCAGATATGTCTCACCCCACAACCCACTCCACTCAGAAATCATTCAGACCTTTTGACTTTTAATGCAAAGATCTGCACAGGCACAATAAGCATGAGTGTCTGTGGAGGGTGCCCCTCCCTTTATCATGAATTTTGCATTTCTTTAATTGTGCTTAGGCACATCAATATGCTCCCAACTACAAAGCAAGAAGTATAGTTAGAATGATTACTTGAGACCAGTAAGGTCAGTGACTGAATAACAGTTCCCTCTGCCAGACCAGATCTAATCTACTGATCTAATGAAGATGGGGCTTTTCATGATGGCCTTATAGGTCCCTTCCAATTCCATTATTCTATTATTCTATAAAGAGGACAAGGTAAACACTGGAATGGTATGGAACAGGCCAGAACAGAAAGTTCTTAAGAAAAAATAATGATGCCAAAAAAGTAGGATGTGATGGAAATATCTGAGCTATATTTTAGATCTCAAACAAAATGAACATTACTTTTTTTATTAATCCTTTATTACCCCAAACTGTCCAGAATGGAACACAGTGGACCAGAATGGCAAGTTCTGAGTAGGATAACTGAACCAAATTCACAACAGATACATGAATAGATGAAACAGATGAGAGGTGGGGCTTCATCGCAGCAAGACTGGTCGGGTTTCAGGAGGGCTCCTCAAACTGACCGAGACCACTTGGTTTTGACCCGCCCCCAAAAAATCTTGTAGTGGGAAGGACTTTCTCTAGGAGAAGTAAAGTCTGAAGCAGCAGAATTTGACTGAGAAGGGAGAAGTACTGGGGGGGAGCCTTGTTTTTTCTTCTATTTGAAGTTTCATCTGAGTGCAGAAATCGAGTGGGAGCCATCTTGGCAGAAAGCTGTGAATGCCTCTGACAGAGTACAGGAGGATTTTGTAAAATAATCTTGACCAGAACTTGAAGTAAGTTGTTTGTTTTACATATGGAACTCTTAAGACCTAAATAATGAAGAGAGTGGGTGCAATCTGTCAGAGAAATTGGCTAGATCTTTATCTGGCCAGACGGGTGAGCACTCCCCCCCTTCATTTGAGGCTTGATTGAAAGAAAGAAAGAAAGAAAGAAAGAAAGAAAGAAAGAAAGAAAGAAAGAAAGAAAGAAAGAAAGAAAGAAAGAAAGAAAGAAAGAAAGAAGGAAAGGAAAGGAAAGGAAAGGAAAGGAAAGGGGGAGAAAATGACTTTGCTTGTATTGCTGTAATAAGACTTGCTTTGGCAGGACAATATAACCATAAACTAGTGAATTACAAAGTTGATGGATTTAAATCTCTGAAGTAGCCAGAAACAGTATTGGGAAAAGATTTTAAAAGGAAAAAAAGCCCTTCTCCCTGCCAACCATTCCTAATTATGAAGACTGGAGAGAAAGACTGAATTGTAAATATTATTTGCCCCAAGACACTAGCTGCCCTTGTGAATATTTATTGTGTTTACCACCTGCTGGAAAGAAATCCAGATAATACTTGCAAAGTGACAGTAACTGCTTGAATCATGGAACAAGAAGCTCTCAAAGACTAGCAAAAGAATATTCAAGACATGCTATTTATTGGATTACAACAGATAAAAGGAGAGATGGATCAGCTATTTGAACAAATTAAAGACTTAGAAACACAAATGAAATATACAGTGAAGATGGAGAAAAAAACAGAGGGTCCCAAGGCAGAGCTGGAAGAACTGCGACAGGAAACAAAACAAAATGAAATCAACTTACCAAAACTACAAACAGAGGGAGATAATTTTACTTCTAGATCCCAGAACTCTTCAGAAGAAAAAAATGGAAGATACAGTTCAGCTGATAGCTAATTTGTTAACCCCTCTTATGGAGATGTCAGCAGTAAAACTGCAAGAAATGGTGAAACTTACTATAAAAGGGAGGAGAATGGAGATAATGGGACATATGCCATGGCAGATGGGACAAAGAAGGAGACAGTACATGGATATGATGAAGCTTTTGGGAGCAGATCTAATATAAATAGTTGATAAGATGGAAGATGAAGGGATCGAAGATTACATGATAAAATGGGTGTGGCGTTCACCCTTTGTGGCACCTACGTGTTGTGCCCTCACAAAGGCTCCAGTCATGTTTTCCTCTCACTGCCACCAGTGGATTACCTCCATCCACAATATAAATGAAGTTTGTAAAAACATTTGTATTGTGAATGCAAACATAATTTATTTATTGAAGTGAAGCCAATTTAATAATCACAGAAGTTCTTCAGATAAACATTGTACACAAGTAAATCAGGTCGTCTCAATACATACTTTTCTCTTGCCATATAATTACCACCTTCTCTATCTATTTAACCAGCTTTATCTCTATTAGTATCTGTTCCTTCTCTCTCTGACTAACCAGTCTCTTATCTCTCTATCTGTATCTCTCTCTGACTGTCTGACTCTCCCTCCTCCTGCCAAACCTTCATATATCCTTTGACTCTGCCCCTCCAATCCTCTCATAGGCTCGTGTAAATTAGATCATGACTATGAGTGGCAGGAGTGACATGGGGCAGTCGTCACAATGGGCACAAAATATTGGTTAGGATATTGATTTAGGGCAGTAGATATAAACCTGGCAGAATAAGAAAATATAGATAACAGGAGATGTCAAATGATGTAAAAGAAGGTCCTTTGTGGTGAAAGATTATATGAAAGATTATATAATAAAATGGGCACAAAATATTGGTTATAACATTGATTTAGAGCAGTGGATATAAACTTGGTAGACTAATACCAAACGTATAAAATTAGTAAGTTTAAAGATAAAAAGAAAAAGAAGGTCCAAGGAAATGGAAGATTAGTAACTAGATATTCTGGAATGTTGCTATATTGTTTTTCTCTTTGTATGCTTTCCCTTTTTAATATAACTGTATAAGTGGGTGTAAGAATATTTTTTTCACTCTCTGGAATTTTACTCTTTTCCACCCTTCCCTCCCCCTTTTTTACCTTGTCCCTCTGTTTGTACCTCAACCCTATGAAAAATTAAAAACAATGTTAAAGAAATAGATGAAACAGATGCAAAAAGCCACAAATTATCCAAACAAAAAATATTCCAAGCAGGAAATTGATACTGTGAAAAACAGCCCATAACAGTGACTTCCAAGTAGTATAATCCAACCAAATTCACTGATCCTTCCAGGAATAACATTCTAGCACCCATTGCAGACAGAGGTTTGTTGTTGTGAAAATTTATTTATTTTACTTATTTATTTTATTAGACTTGTATACTGCCCATCTAGAACATGTCTACTCTGGACAGCAAATTCTGAGTAGGACAGCCTAACCAAATTCATCCGACTGGGTGGGTGGGTGGGAGCTGATACCAGCCAAGCTATTAAACCAAATGCACTATTTCATAGAATTATAGAACTGTAGTAGGGTTGGAAGGGACCTTGGAGGTCTTCTAGTCCAACCCTCTGCCCAAGGCAGGAGACCTCATACCATCCCGGACCTCATACCATCCAGGACAGATGGTATGAGGTCCAATCTTTTCTTGAAAACCTTGAGTGATGGGACACCCACAACATCAGGAGGCAAGCTGTTCCCCTGCATAATGGTTCTCACCATCAGGTAATTCCTCCTTATTTCCAGGTTGGATCTCCCTCTGATGGGTTTCCACCTATTAGTTCTTGTCTTACCCTCAAGTCCAATGGAGAATAAATCAATGCCCTCTCTTCCCTGTGCCAACCTTTCAGATATGGAACACTGCTATCATGTCTCCCCTCAGTCTTCTCTTTGTTAAACTAAACATACTTAGTTCTTTTAGTCATTCTTCATAGGATTTTGTCTCCAGTCTCCTGATCATCTTTGTTGTTCTTCTCTGCACCCCTTCCACGGCCTCAGTGTCTTTTTTGTATTGTGGTGACCAGAACAGGACACAGCACTCCAAGTGCAGCATCACCAGCGCGGTATAGAGTAGTACTGTCACTTCCCATGATCTTGACACTGTCCCCTTGTTGATGCAGCTAGGTGTTCTTTTACCACTTCCTTGCCTATTTTGACCTGCTTCCCACTCGTCTCCCACAGTGCTGCTTTTGACAGGATGGCCCAATTTTTCTTTTTGCTTAAATACAGATGCAAAAAAAAAAAAAAGAATTAAGCAGTTCCGTTTTCTCCCTGTTGTCTGTCACCTTCTTGTCATCTTGTCCCACTAGTGGACCAACCATTTCCCTGACTTTCCACTTGCTCCTTTCAACATGCTGGTATTCTGTTTTAGTTATGAGTCCCCTTTTAAGTTTTTATACTTATCCTTTTTGTCAGAGAGCTCTGTGTGCATCCACACAGATGTCTCTTGTTTTTCTTTCTCTGTGGTATTGTTTTGATTTAGGCGTTTATTAGATCACCTTTCAGGGTTTCCCAAGCATCCTGAACTGTTTCTTCCTTTAAGATTTCCATCCATGGAATCCCTCCTATTACATTGGTTTGTTAATGTTCTTAATATCTAGAACATTAGTCTGACTTTGTACAGTTATCGTTGCCTGCATGATGAATTCTAATATGACATGGTCACTTTCTCCTAAAGTTCCTGCAGTTTCCAC